CCTGTTCTCAATGGACCTTAAATATGGGTATCGAGGTCGCAAACGTGAGAACTTCCATGCATCGCGACAGGCAATGACGTCATATCGTATGAGTAAACTCTAAGACCAAAATTGAAATACTTCTTATATGTTAAAGTCTCATAAATATTATAATTGTATTTGTTAATAATAGAATTTAACTACGGATACTTTATTCAGGCCATAAAATCTTTCGTTGTTCATATTTGAAATATTTTATAAATGCATTCTCTTTAATTAAAATATACAATATGTTACGATAATTTAGATTCGATTTTCAAATTATCAGCTGACTTATTTTCTTGTGCATAGAGACTTCATGGTAAGAAAAGTGTACGAAAATGATATAGAATAGAAATTTAAATTACTCTATCGGTTTAACATTAAGTGCCATAACAAGTAACAACCCGTTTCGACGTAACCCTGTAACGACAACTAAACGACACGTAACAAGCATGCTCCAGATACTTTTCACTCGAAATGTCTCTTGCGCAAGGTCACCGCAGGGCCGTTAATTACAGTAACAGTTGGGACCTTTAGAGTTAGTCATTCATAATAAATAAAGGCCGAGCTTTTATGATATTTTCGGGCCGCATTCGAAAGTTTTGAATGACGCTAAAAATTTTCGCATAATTACAAATTATTCTATTTATTAAGTTTAAGTAAAACTAGTTATTGAAATGAGATATTTTTTTTCCCATCTTAAACTCTCTTCCAACAATTTTTTTAACGTTATCCTGTTCAAAATTTCACCGTCAGTCTATCCTTAATTCTCCAATGTAACTATTTTTATTCTCTAATCAAGATACGATTACTTTAATATCAAAAAAAGACAAAATTTAATCATCATCATATTATAAATTACTTATATCTGTGATGTTACAAATTATAAAACTTAAACTGTAATAGTTTTGATGTATCTTGATATTTTAAAAATGAACACTGGCCGATTGTCATTTCTTTTCATCACCATAAATATTGAAATTATAACATTCATCACAGAATACATTTTTCAGGGTGCATCTTCAGATTTGGAACACACTGTCTTGTCTTTGTTTATTTTCAAACGGATGACAGAGATGAAGCGTAAAATTCGAATCCGATATCATTTCCGATCATTTGTGCATAAGGCGGCAGCTGTTACAAAGATATTGGATTACATTACATATGGGCACCAGGCCGTAACGCTTATGAACGACAGCAAGTACGCCGTCTGAGCCTCAAGTAGATAGACTGTAATTATGATGAGAGGAACGAAAACCTTTTGAATTATAACAATAATTATTAATTTTTGACAGTTAATACAAGTTGTTTGTCTCAGATTGAAAATGCCGTTAATTATAATTTTGTGTGTCACACAAATTATTCATGTCAACGCGTCAAGTTACCATTACATGTCAAATATCCGGAATCAATTTTGAACTTAACGCTTTAAGATTTAGTTGAAAATCTATGCTGTTATGCTGTTGACTGTACATTTAATTTTAAATCATCATGCATGTATTTATTTATTTAAAACTTTTTTTTTGCAATTCCAAATTTGGTAGTTGAGATTTATCTCGCTCTCAATCTTTATCTAATTTCAATAAATTTAAATTATTTTATTTACTTTATAATATGTTACCAAGTGCCAAGTATTATTTTAAAATAAGTAAGTAATAGATTTTTCAAAAATTAAACAATCTAAAGACCACTAGCTCCCCAGAATATTATTTACGACATCTCCAACAATCGGCTACCTCCATAGCCGAGTGGTTCGTACGCCGGTTTCAAGGTGTCGCCATCTCTAGGGTCCCGGGTTCCATTTCCAGTCGGGTCAATGTAGAAAATTAACTTTTCTATATTGTCCCTGATCTGGGTGTTATCGTACCTTCATTGTCTCAGATACTTAATCATTATCATCCCAATTCATAAAACATTATACACCATATCCCAAAAAGAAGAAGAAGAATGAAAAATCATCTATCACATAATTTAACTTCAGCAATCGCATAAAAAACTAAACTAAATATTTAGAGCTAGTATAATTATTTGGTTTATTTGTGAATGAAAATTTATCCAGTTATTTTTCGAGATAAGAGCGTTCAGGTGTATGTCGTTTATTTCTTATCATACAAAATCCAGTTTCTGCACTTGTATCGATAGTAAGGTTAAGGCTTATGTCCTTAAGTGCCTACAATAGGTTACAGTTAGAAACCAGTCAGTAGAGTAACCAGGCTGATTGTCAATTTTAGGAAAAAATAACATAACATAATTAGGAAATCCATAATTAAGTTTTGTGGAGTATAAAACATATAATTACAAGATGTATTTCCTATCATAAATCAATAAGACTTAAATGTGATACATTTATTTACAATTAAGTCAAGGTAAAATTATAGTTTACACATTGGTAAATTTAATACAACTCTATTGAAATATCCTTCATTTTTTCTACAACCCAACTACGACTTTATTTTAGCTCTAGAGAAGAATGGACACAAGAAACTATAACATAGAAGTAATAGCAACTTTAATGAAAATACGTAGAAACATAATAGAATTACGATTATATCTTTTTACACATTTTCATCAAGTCAAGACCACAAAAAAATTATGAAGAGTGTTCGATATTTAATTACCCGCTTAAATAATTTATTACTTTTTACTAGCAGACGTAGGCGGTTTCGCTTATGTAGAGGGTACTGTTTATTGGATATCAATTCATATCATGACACGGATATAATCGCAATGACAAAATGCATAGTAATCAATGATTACTGTGGTAATGTTTAAATTCCTTATACAAACTTCCACTCCCATTTTCAGCCCTTTATTTACTCTTTTTCGATATAAAATATGATCTATGTTCACCGCAGATAATGTAGCTTTTCGTATGTAAAAGAAATTTTAAAATCGGTCCAGTAGTTTTGGAGCCTGTTGGAAACAATAAAATCTTTCATCTTTATAATATTAGTATAGACTACTTATCTGAGCTATGTACAAAATTAAAAAAAAACTTAAACAATTATCTAAAGAGGCTGGCAATACTATCGTCAAAAATATGTAATTGTGCTCGTGAATGCGTGTAATTCAGTCACTATCGAAAATCATTGTAACTATCAACGTAAGAATATGTATGTAGCAAGCAACCAAGTCATGCTTAATTTATGTCCAGTATCCAATTCTTACATAGCAACTCTTTTCAACTATTGTGCATCCAGTCAACGATTAGCATGTCAACAAGAGCTCACAAAGACTGTTCAATTAACGATGACCGTACAGACAGAACTTTCGTCTTACATTCGAGTACCTTGCGAAATATAGTACCTACATAACTTTGGGTGAGCCGTTCGGAAGTTGCTTTTGTTTCACAGTTGATGTATGATTCAATTGTTCACTGTTACTATGTTAGTGTGTTTTTAACACGTACGAGTAATGCGTTGAATTGCGTAAGTTTTTATATTTGCAAGATATTTTTATGCAGATTTCGAAATATGATACTCCTGTAGGCAAGCAGAATACTAATTTTAAAAGGTCTTGGTGTAAGGTTTGTATAATGATGCAAAAATCGTTGGTAGAGATACTAAACATATACGAAGTGCATCGCGTCAAAGAACTCATGATTCGTTTCTTCGTCTCCGTACCCTTACCCTTACCCTTTATGTCATTTAGTGCTTTTAGCAGAACAACTAACTGTATTGCTCCTATTTTTACATTACTGATATTTTGCTTTGTAAACTAACTCATTTTCAATGCTTTAAAACTTTGTCATTATCGTTGTTCTACAATATAACCAAAAATAAAACTCACCTTATCAATCTCAGCTACTTTCAGCACAATTTTGATCTTTGGATTGTTCTTTCTGTACTCCTTCAGGATAGCATCTAACTTGTCCCCTCTCGCGGTTCCCGCGTAAACAAGATGGGTGCACTCGGAAAAGCTGTCAGTGTTTGCGCGCGCATTTTCCACATAACAAACGAGACGCGCCGCGCCAGCGCCGGCGGCGTCAGCTGCTAACACCGCAGCGGCGAGGCATAACAACCAAGCCCACATTTCGATAATTAAAAAAATAATAAAAAGAATAAATTCAAACTGACATTCCGATTGTATAAGTTTCAAACTCTATGGTCGTTTTTTTTTTCGAGTAGGCGCGTTGGTCGTTTCGTGGTCGGTGAACGAGTGGTTGCAGTTTGCGAGACCGGTGAGGTGTAAGGCGCCCCCGCCCTACAGATGCAAGGTCACGCTCACCGCCTCGAGACGCTAGGGCGATTCGCGACAACTTTTTCGGGCCTTGTTACGTATCGTTATGACATTATTATTTATATGCATATCACATTCCTATATTTCATAAATTTTACATTCACAATGCTATACCTATTGATATTTTTGTATGAGATATCTCAAATGAACGCGACTTTTGCAAACATTAAATGTTAACGAGATTCTAAACCTATTTATTGGAATAGTAATAGATGATTTAAGAAGGTGCGCTTCTCTAGCACATCTTTCACAATGACCGTTATTTTTAACCGATTTGATAAAGGGAAAGATTTTAAGGTGACGACTAGTCGTTATCTTTTGGTATATTTCCTAAAAAATATTCTCCTATTTAATGATCTTAAGAATTAATCAGTGATTAGAACAGTCGCCCGGATTGCGAAAGGTCGTGCGTGCGATTCCCATCTCAGGGTGCCAGGGACCGAGTGGAGTTTTTAAGTATTTTGTATTAAGAATAATTTTCAGTATGGCATTGTGAATGCAAAATTAATAAAAATGTAATATTTAATTTTTGTTGCACCAATTATAATATAGGATACCAATTTTTTATAAACATTATCCAAATTATGTTCAATCATACTTCAGATCTTCCCTTGTTAGAACTTAGGAATCGTCTATTATTATTAATAATATTTATCAGATTTCTATATTATAATATTGTATTAGTTGTAAAATCATTGTCCTATAACTCGATAACACTCACAATTGTTACTATCTCTAGGTATATTTGCTGTGATTACTTAGCAAATTTCTTATCAGATATTGAATCGACAGATATTGAGACGATCGCCGCCGTTCGTGTTAAAGTGTAATGTAATATTTGTGAATATAAACATCTTAGGATTGTTAAAATTTATTATACTTTAATCTGGTGTTTTAAGTTATTGTAATGTCATTTTCGGGAAAGAAATTCAGGAGAGTAAGAGCAGAAAATGTTGAAGAATTGCTGAAAGTGTCAAGTAAGTGTTTCAAAGTTGTTGCAAACGTTCATTTAATATGAAAATATATCTATACAAAAGCCACTGGAAATCATTTTGCATAGAATCAAACAGAATATGATAATAAGGATATGTTTTGTCAGTGGTAATCAAAGAAATAAATTCTTTTGACACTAACCAGACTAAAAATTTTGTGTTTTTTTTGTACAACTGCGTTTTCGTTTAAAAAAATAAGCAAATTTTAGTATTTAGAAATTCTTTCGCTTACTGGCAGCTACATCATAAGCGATCACGGACTGTAATTTATGCTAAGTTGCTGAGAAACAGCTAGTTATTAAATAAACCCTTTATCCTATCTTGAGCTAATAAGTCTGTGTCGTATTTAAAAATAGTAAATGATAAATACGAAAATTCTTCATAAATTAGTTCTTAAAAATGTAATTTTATTTTAACTATATTATTTGTACAATAAAACAATTTATTATTAGAAATAATCTCAAATAAAAATACTCGAAACTTCACCACTCTAAGGTGGTCGAGCTTTTAAGAAAAATGCAAAGTTTATCAAGTAATATTAAGAATAATCTATTATATAATGTAATTTCAATAATAAGAAATATTGCTCAGCCACCCGTGAAATATATAGTATGACGAAAACGTTTTGACCTTTTCAGCTGACGTTTGTAGCTCGTGAGGCGCGAGCTTTGCCATGTATTAAGATTTTTAACCGACCATTGAGTACCGGTTGTTTGTGCTTACATTTATACGTAATTGAGGTATCTTGATCCTAGATTTGTGACGACACGTTAAATATAATACGGCTCTCATAAGGATAGATAGCAAACAATAAAAATCTCGTTACGTCGTTTTAGGTAACATATTTTTCTTATTAATTCATATCAAAAATTTTAACATTTACGTGCACCATTTTCATTGCTCAATTGGTTGGTTTATTGTCCAATGCAATGAGCCCCACAGAAATCTCCCACAATCTACATGTCGTATATAAGGAGCGTCAATGAAAGTCGGTCAGTCGTCGTAACACCTAGGGATGCTTTATGCACACAATAATACTCTTATATTATGTGTCACAAATCCTCGGTGACTATCGTCTAGTAAAGACTCCCTAACTCCATAAATATGTACATTAATTTCTACTGGTTTTATACACAAAGGAGTAATGTTTAAGTTAGTTGTAATTAATAATGAAAAAACAACATGATACTTCTAAAGCTTATTCCATGATTATTCACAGCCCCAAAGTAAGGTTTTTAGTGAGTAGACCTCTGTGGGTCTATTCAGCGATCTTGTCAATGATCTTGCCGCTCTTCAGGCTGCGGGGTATGCTTTAAGCACTTTCCCTGCAATAAAAAAAGGCTTCATCATCAGCCCTTTAACGTCCCCACTGCAGGGGCTCAGGCCTTCCTTATGGATGGTTAAGGAGGATGGGCCATGACCCTCCACGCTGGCTCAATGCGGATTGGAGGGTATTAACGACTGCAAATGCAGCCGGGACCAAAAGGCTTAATCATAGTAAAATAGAATTTATTAAATTTTATTGATAAAAAGGAAAAACACAAAGTTACAGCTAAATTTCACCAATTTTTTCCATTCCTTGTTGTGATTATACCATTTTTATAGGGAAAATTTATAAATACATAAGTCTGTCTTTGTAATCAAAGGTTTTATGCAACACTTTTACAATAATCGTAATAGTTTGCGAGTAATTAACTAAAAACAATATTTTATTAGCGCAACGCGCAATTTGCATTCTTCCGTACTTATCTATCTGGCCTCATGAGATAGAAAGCAGAAAGGGGCAGTTTTTAGAGTTCCATATCCAAAGGGTTAAAAACGTGATCCAATTATTAAGACTCCGCTATCCATTCATCTGTTTGTTTGTCTTTCTGTCACCCAGCTGTATATGATTCGTTCGACAGTTGAAAAATTCGCAGTGTTATATTTCTACAGCCGTCACAATAACAATTACAAAAAAAAAATTAAGGGAGGCTTACATACAGCAAACGTGATTTTGCTCGAACCCGACTCGCAGTTTGCCAGCGTTTTGGCTTTACGCCTTCTCTTAAATCGATTCTCTTAATTCGATGCACAGTTTATTCATTCTTAACCCAGATAATTGCAAAACGTGATATTTGCACTTATTATATCTCTATTACATTCTAGAGACCAACGAGAACGTAGCTCGCATGCTTCAGAACACATTACCCACATTCTCGTTCACAAGAATCGATGATGTAACCTTTACGTTCCACCTGCAGACTGATAACCGCCAGATGAACGTTACATTTAAATTGGGAGAGGAGACTGAATTAGAAAGAAGAGATGGCTCAAAGGTGAAGTAGATGGTAGATCAGCATTAGCGTAATAGTCTAATACAGATTTCCAGCAGCAGACCCCTCACTGTTAGTACTTCATCATCAGTCCTTTTATGTCCCTACTGTAGGGGCTCAGGACTTCCTTATGGTTGATAAAGGAGGATGGACCAAGACCCTCCACCCTGGTCCATTGCGGATTGGACGGTATTAACGATTGCAAATGCACTGGAGACCAATATTAACAATGATGCCTTTCGAAGCACAGAATAGCCCAAGATATTTTTTTTAGGCAACCATCCCATGACCGATCATTGAGAAAATTGCTTAATAACAATTATCGCGAGCCGCGGCGCTGTATCCGCTACGCCATCTAGCTACTCCTGTTAGTACTTCAACATAATGAAATATGAAGCTTTAGAAAGCTCTTATACATTTTTGTCACGAGCTCTACGATTTATAAATAAATAGTTGAAGCTGGCAGGTCTACCGCTTAAGTTCGCTGAGGTATATCGGTTCCTTTATTGATTGATCGAACAATGAAATGGGGATCACTTCCTCTATGGGGATACAGATATAATTGATTTTGAAAATGATGTAAAATAATCGGTTTCAAGAAAAATATTTATTTGTCAACTGTTTCTTCTTCAGATTAATCCGAGTCAGAAAAATCACTGAATTCAAGTAACATTAATGTTTCTTATAGGCCAAAATCGGCTCTTAAAATTAATCCTTCTTATATTTACGGATAATAATTATTTATTTATTCTTATTCAGGTAAAAGTGACATACACATTAGAAGGAGATAATGTTCTGAAACAAGTAATAAAGTCACCAGACGGAAAGATATCTTATTTTAAAAGAGATTTCGGAGACAAAGACATGATAATGGTAAGACAGTTATCAAAACCTAATCGTTCATACTAAAAACATAAAGTTTATTTTTATGCTGCTTGTATTTTGACTGCAGCCTAATATTATCCGAGAATAAAGTCAAGATTACCTCCCAAATAACTAAACTGTTATTAAAAATATAAAAACTAAAACGCAATTCGTTAATTTTTAAGCTGTACGAGTATGTTAATGTGAACTTACATTTTTTTTTTAATGGAAAAAATTACAAAGTTACATCTGAATTTTTCAATTTATTTTCGTGATTATATATTTTTTTTTTTATATAAAAACTTCTTTTTCAGACAATTACTATGGATGGAACTGATGTTGAAGCAAAAATATATTACGAACTAGTAGAATAAATTGTGTTTAATAAAAATCGTTGTTTATTAATATAACCTAACCTTTACCTGTGCAAACTTGACGTCGACTACAGCAAAGTCTTACCATAGAGGTTCAATGAAAGAAAACTTTTACACTTTGGTTTTATTACAGAATTACACTGCAGATTAACTCAATAAATATTGTTAGCGCTAATGGCTAAACACACAGTAACACAAAATGATTTTGTAATTTTTGTAACTAAATTTCAATGTCTTTTAATCAAATGAAGAAAAGTCTGTGGAGTCAATCAATTTGATGCCTAACGTGCGTATGCGCAGCTTAACATTACAACGTCATAGAACGAACTTTCAATTACAGAGCTTTTTATTTGACCTAGGAAAACATTGAAAAAACTAATATAATGGTCAATAATCGTTTTTGCTATCATTGGCTAAATGTGTCTTTGATTTTTGACAGCAAAATTACAGTTTAAATTTATATATGTACTAATTGTTTACTGTCTTGTTTATTTTATACTGGGTTGTGTTGTGTGTTGGCTAAATAAATGCTTTATTATTATTATTATTTGCTGCGATAAAGTCTAAATATCAAATATCAATAAATTCTAAATATCAATACATATTAGTTCTACGATAGTTACATTACCATAAGTACCTAATGAGTCGCCTGCGCACCTTATAATGTATTTCAGCTGCACGCGCATGTTTAGCAACGCGATCCTCCCCCTTCTATTGTCTTTTGCTTTATTATCTCTGGTATATCTGACGAGAACAAAGACAACAGACAACTGTATTACACTTGCGCTTATGTAGCTACTGGTGACGTTCAAAACACCGTAACCTATTAGTAGGATAATTTTTTGAAAATAATTTTCAAGGAGAATGCCACAGTGGTTAACGCTTGGTCTGATATGCGAAAGTTAAGCAACTTTCAGTGGCCGGATAGGAAGGATGACCAAAAATTTATTATCTTCAGCTCCTTCGTGCTTCGGAAGGCACGATAAACCAATGGTTCATTGTGAGAACAACCATAAATCAACCAAAAATATATATTTCAGGAGGGCCTCTAGTTTACACAGCAAGGGGTTGGATTGCTGTATAGGGAGTAAAATCAGCTTTTTAATGAGTTATAGAGGTAATAATAATAAAGGTTGATTATTTCAGATTATTTAATAATAATAAATAATCTGAAATGGTCAAGGTACTAACGTCATTTCACATAAAGTCCTTTACCGGATTATGTATCTGCACAACCTGTATTTATTCATGTATGTGGGTCAGTGAGCTTTATTGTATTTGAATACCTAAAAATGAATATAATTTGAATATAATATGTAGTGAGATTCATTAAACGAATCTAGAAAAATACTTAACAATTGTAAAAGAAATAAGTTCAAAAACTAAAACCTAAATCAGACAGCTAAATCACGCTCTAAAAAGTTTAAAACAAGAAAATTATTTTATAGCGATAACTATAAATATATAATAGCGATGATCATTATATGAATAATACCTACAGGACCAAGCGAGAGAAACCTCTGGGGGAAGCAGGAAGAGAAATATTCTTAATGAAAAATACTTAAAAAATACACTTTGTTCCTGGCGCTCAGAGATGGGATGGACCAATCCATAACCTTTCGCAACCCGGGTGACTGCTTTAACCACTGAGTTACCCAGAACCTAACGGGACTGACGAATGCTTCAAGCACTTGTTTCTTTTTCGCTACTACAGAGCGTATTTTCATCAACATTTCGATAAAGATTTTTTTTTTCTTATTATTATATTTTAGCAATTTCGCATTCGCAATTAATTCAGTATTTTTTATTAGTAGACACTAATTACTACTTACAAAAAAAGACAAATAATAAACAAGTTTATCTACTCCAAAATATTTTAAAAGTTAAATGTCTTTATGTGACTTGCATAGGTAGATAGGTCGTTTAAGGAGTTAGCTTTATAAAAAAGAAGTAAGTATAATAATAATAAAATAAAATTTTAATTCCATTAAAATTAATCTTAAGTTTATTTCCACTGTTTATATTTATAAAAGGTCTATTAATTCAAAAACTAATTAAATTTAATGAATGTTCAGGTTCTCTAATATAAAAGTGTTCTACGGAATCAAACAATAGTGAAAATAAAACAATAATGATATTATCGATGATAAAATCATAAAAAAATTAGTTCCGCGTTAATCTTTAGCTAAGCCCTTTGTACAGAAAAAGAAGTTATTGTTAATTACAATTACTTCTCAGGAAACAAATATATCATAAATACAATTAGAACATAGAATCCTCTCCCTTTTTAAATCGGTTAAAATAGTATGTCATGGTGAACCAAATAATAAATTAATCGGTTTCCCAAGTGTAATAATTAAAACAATTCACGTAAGTATATATTTCATGTGAAACCAATTTATTTGCCTTCTACATATATAAACTACCTTCGGTTAATTTGCATGTGTCAGATAAGGTCCTAGGACAATCATTTTAACGAAGGTGTGATACGCTACACGCGATGTCACATAATATATTCGGTATGTTCTTAACTGACACTCCATAATACGACAGAACTGTATTCAAAACATGTTTGGAACGAACCTTCTGAGAAGGACGTTTTCTTCATTTCAATATGAAAAGATAAAATCACTTAAATTACTAAAATAAAATTGAACTTTTGAAGATCGTAAAATTTTTAGACGTTACAAGTTTTTTTTATTAAATGCAGTTCATACGTTTGTAAGATCACTCTGTTTTTTTTTTAATTCAAAAAATACAGTGTATATATTTAACGGATAGAAGTATATTGTATTAAAAAATCTCTTTGAATAATTTGTACCAGCCTCTTGTATCATTTGAGAATACGACTTGTGCGATATATCGATGTATTGCTTGTAGGGCTCTCAATAAATGGGTAATCGAATAATGGAAAAGAAAAAAATAACGATTAATAAAAGTAAAAAAAGGCAAATATTCTACCCATAACAATAACATTGGTACCAATAAAGGTGCATTTTCAGTCAACATAGCTCGCATATAAAGTGAGATAGATTTCTACGGGCTTATTTTATTTTTCGATAAACAAATATTTTTTATATGCAAAATAGAAAAACAAACAAATACAAAAAAATCTTACACAAACATAGTAAAATAGGCGGGGTTATAGCTTCATAGCGATTTCTGCCAGGTAACTTAACAATGTACGGAATTTTATGTAGGTACAAAACCAAAGGTAAAATATGTTGAAATGACAAAACTAATAGGTGTACAAAACGTGAAAGCATACTAGCGACAAACAAAGTGCGACAAGTGGGGATAATAGATATAAAAAAAAAATAAAAAGGATAGAGAGAAAGAAAGGAAAGGCAGATTAATTATCAGAGTGGTAAAAAGATTTTACCAACGATTTGAAAGAATCTAAAAACTTTGCCTATCGGGTTGGCTCAGGTAAGGATTTCCAGAGTTTGATGCCCTGTGATAAAATAATAATAATAATAATAATAATCTTTATTTCCAGTAAAAACAGTTTCCTAAATATACAAGTAGTATAAACTTAATAATATTGACATTATTGAAATCATACGATAATTAAAATAAGTTTTACTCGTATAAGGCATCTGCTGCCAAACTAAGGTGGTTATCACCCTGTCATCTGGCAAGACAGCGCAACTACCCCAATTAGACCTAATGAAGATAATATTATTACTTACAAAGTTACAATTTTTATTAATGTTTTGTTTATTCTACTAAAAACTATTTATATCTACTATATATATAAATATTTATTTATATGTGTGTGTGTGTGTGTGTGTGTGTGTGTGTGTGTGTGTGTGTGTGTGTGTGTGAATGTGTATGTGTGCGTTGAAATGTTGTTTGTGCAAATAAATAAAGATTGTATGATTGAGTGTATGAGTATGAGATTTTGTTTGGTGTATTCTATTATGAAACTGTAGTAAGTAGCTGCTCCTTCTTATCGTAGTCAAGAGAAAGAAGAAAGCTAGTGACTTTCCTCTTGCACTCGTATTTATTCAAATGTGCAATGGTAATATATCTGCTTATCTTATTATAAACAAAGTTTCCAAGGAAGATGTAAGAACGTTTAGCGAAACTTGTTCGGCAACCTCGTTTATGTCTGCAAACAATATCCTTACGCCGTCTCTGAGAGTTTGATTGGTCAAAGTCAATTTCTGCGTGCTTTTTCAAGACAGTAAATAATAAAAACAACCCTCTGACGCTAAGTACTTCGCAAAATTTCAACAGAAGGCTGGTGGGATACAGATATGGTTTAAAAGTACAAACCTTCAAAACTGCTCGCTGAGCCACCTCCAAACATTTCAAATTTGTTTTTGGCATCCCTCCCCAGATAGTTATACCGTAGGTTAGTATAGATTGACATAATGCCAGGTAAACTCGTTTGAGATGCACAGGTTCAAGAACATGTCGTAGTATCTTCAAGGTAGCTATAAGTTTTCTCACCCTGCCACATAGATTCCGAACATGGATTTTATAGGACATATTATTGTCAAATGAGACACCAAGGTATTTAATGACATCTACATAATTAATCACTGCACAGTGACATTATCAGCGATTTGAGGGCTGCAAGTATGTAAGCGGAGCTTGCGAAATTGCAGCGAGTCACTTGAAGTATTCCGTATTGTGAAAAAAATACATTTGGACTCTAACAACTTTTTGACTCTAAATGCGGACAAAACCGCATTTAGAGTCAAAAAGTTTGAACTCAGGCAAGCATTTACTCGATTTAACCCATTTTGAGCAGCCTCACAGGTCCCACTCAAATTTCTGTCTGAAAACATAAGGACCGTGTCATCTGCATAGGTCACAATTTTTCCATTACTGAGATTTAATTGACAGAGCTCGTTGATATACACAAGAAAAAGAGTGGGACCCAAGATGCTCCCCTGGGGGACGCCGTGTGTTACCAATGACTCGCTGCTAGAGAATCCAGAAATGTTAATGGATTGGTATCTTTCAGAAAGGTAATTCTCAAATAATTTTAATTGGTAATCACGAATTCCAATCCCTTGCAACTTCTTCAAAAGAATAGAAACAGAGACCGTATCAAAGGCCTTTGCCAGATCTAGGTATATAATTGCTACAGAA